GACTGGCAGTGGCTGCAGCAGTGGGGTGATGGGGCTGGTGCCTTCCCCTGACCAGCCCGGTCACCTCCCAAAAAGGGAGGCCATACTGTAGCTTAGGCCAGCTCCCCAAGGGAGCAGGGAGCAGGGAGTAGGAAATCCCCTGAGAGCTCCCAGTATGTGACAGGGGGCAAGCTGGGCTGAGGGACCCCCCCCTCCAGTGCACAAATTTTTGTGCACTGGGCCTCTAGTCCTATCTAATAATAGACAAACAGGGTAATTGACTGTACCTTCGCTATGCCTCCCATTGGCTAATCAGTGCAATATGCAAATTAACCACCAACAAATATGGCAGCTAATTTGCATACTGCAGGCAGATCCCGCTGCGCTGCCCCTCCTGGGGCTGGCAGCAGCGCGATCCTGAGCCTCTGGCCTGCCCCAGCACGGGATCCAGGCCTGTCGTGTGTGGAGCAGCACAATTTCTGACTCTGAGAAGTGGCCTGGGGCTGGGAGGCAGCTCCTCTGACCACAGCGCCAGAGTTTCGCTGCTCCACCAGGAGAGGAGCAGAGAAAGGTCGGAGCCTCCCTCAAGGTGGCCCAAAACCCCCACCCACACCAGGTAGGCCGATGGGCCTATGCCAGGAGGACTCACCTCCAAGCCCAGCTGGTGCATGCTGCAGCCATGGCACTCCTGGGTGCAGGCCCCACCAAGATGCGGGGTGGCGGCGGGGCGCCATGAGTCCTGGGCTCCTCGCAGCCTCCTCCTGCTTCAGGGCCTCACCCTCCACAGTCTCCTCCTCTCCAGTGCCCAGAGCAGCGGACCCACTGAGGGCCCTCCCCGCTGGCCAAGGGGGTGAATGGAGCAGCAGGGACTCCCGGGTGAAGGGTCGCTCTGGGGGGGAGTCCCGACACCTCCACACCTTGCTCCTGTTCAGCAACATCCCCCAGATTGCGCGTCTGCACCGAGGGCTGTGGTGCAGCGTGATGGCACGGATGGTGGAGAAGGCGAGGCACACACAGGCGCTGCTACAGCCGGGACCTCCTCAAAGGCTTCAAGATGTTCGGCTCCCTCTTCACGCCCTACATCCGGTACTGCATGGAGGAGGAGGGCTGCATGGAGTACATGTGCAGCCTGCTGCATGACAACGACCTCTTCCGGGCCTACGTGACATGGGCTGAGAAGCACCAGCAGTGCAAGCAGCTGAAGCTGAGCGACAGGCTCGCCAAGCCCCATCAGCGGCTCACCAAGTACCCGCTGCTGCTCAAGTCGGTGCTGAGGAAGATGGACGAGCTGCGTGCTAAGGAGGCCGGCATCACCATGATCAGCTCCGTGGAGCGCTTCATCCACCACGTGAACGCGTGCATGCGGCAGCAACAGGAGCGGCAGCAGCTGGCGGCCGTGGTTAGCTGCATGGACACCTACGAGGTGGTGGAGGGTAGCAACAACGAGGTGGACAAGCTTCTGAAGGAATTTCTGCATCTGGACCTGACCGCGCCCATCCCTGGTGCCTCCCCAGAGGAGACGTGTCAGCTGCTGTTGGAGGGCAGCCTGAGGATGAAGGAGGGAAAGGACAGCAAGGTGGATGTGTACTGCTTCCTCTTCACGGACCTGCTTTTAGTGACCAAGGCAGTGAAGAAGGCTGAGAGGACCAAGGTCATCAGGCCACCACAGTTGGTGGACAAGATCGTGTGCCGGAGCTGCGGGACCCTGACTCCTTCCTCCTCATCTACCTGAATGAGTTCCACAGCGCCATGGGGGCCTACACATTCCAAGCCAGCGGGCAGGATCTGTGCCGGGGCTGGGTGGACCCCATTTACAATGCCCAGAACCAGTTGCGGCAGCTGCGTGAGCAGGAGCACGCGGGCAGCCAGCAGTACCTGCACAGCCTGGAGGAGGAAGAGGAGGGTGGGGATAGTAGCTCCCCCACCATCCTGCGCAAAAGCAGCAATAGCCTGGACTCCCAGCACTGTACCTGGGATGGCTCCACAGAGACCCTGGCCATGGTGGTGCTGGAGCCCGGGGAGACGCTCTCCTCTCCCAAGTTCGAGGGCGGCCCCTTGAGCTCCCAGTCAGACGAAATGTCCCTCAGTACCACCGCCTCATCTGTCACACCGACCAGCGAGCTGCTGGTCCTGGGCCCCGGGGACGGCTGCTCCTGCTCCATGGACTCTGCCTATGGCACCCTCTCCCCCACCTCCTTGCAAGACTTTGCAACCCCACCCCCTGTGGCGGAGCCAGCGCCCTGGCCCCTAGATTTACCACAGGCGCCTCCACCCCACCCTCGCCCCACCTCCGGCGCTGCACCCCTGTCCAGCTGCTGCCCCACCTGCCCCACCTGCTCAAGTCCAAATCTGAGGCCAGCCTCCTGCAGCTGCTGGCAGGGGCCTCCATCCAGGGGGCGCCCCCAGCCCCCAGCCGCAGCCTGTCGGAACTCTGCTTGGCTGCCACAGCCACCCGCACTAGGACTCAGGGCTCCCCTCACGAAGCTGGGCCCTGCTGGAATTGCAGGGGTGCACCAAGCCCTGGCAGTGGCTCCCAGCTATCAGAGATGGAGGGCAGGACCACCTGCCTGGTGGGGGAGCCCGAAGGGCCTGCCAGGAGGAGCAGAGAGCTGCCCTCAGGCTCCCCCCCCCCATCTCTGCCCAGCACAGGAAGCTGATGCTGGCCCAGCTCTACCGCATCAGGACCACCCTGCTGCTTAACTCCCAGGCCCTGAGCACAGCCTGGAGCCATGCATGCCTGGAGGGCACACGTGTGCCTGGTATAGCGGGACTTGCTGGAGAGTCCCCCCTGCCCCCGCGCCCGCCCCCCCCCCCCCCCCCCCCCCCCCCCCCGCCTTCCCGGGCAGGCCTCAGGCCCGGCGCCCAATGCGGAAGGGCCACAGTGCGGCCACCAGGCCCTGAAGGCTGCCCTGAAAGCTACACAAAGACAACCTGCTGCTGGCATGCGGTGCTCTGGGAAGACGCCGGAGGTAGGAGGTAGGGAAGGAAGGTCATGGAAGGGAACAATTGCAAGCGGATATCCCGAAGGTTCTGAAAGCAGAGGACCAGCTCCTTGCAGACCTGAACTCAGTGTGGGCCTCTTTCTCAGCCCTGTGTAAGCGGTGCAAGACACAGGAGGAGGTGATGGACCAGGGCTGCGACCAAGGAAGACTCGGAGGAAGCAATGTGTGGACAGGGCCAGGCGGAGCAGGCAGGCCCGTGTGGAGCCTGCTGGAGCGCAGCCAGACCCCAAGGTGACCACCAAGCCAGGCCCCAGGGAGAAGCGAGCAGATGCCTCTCCACTCACTGGAGAAGACCATTGAGCAGAAAACTAAAGAAATCAATTTTACATCATTTCCCAGGTGGAGAACAGTTGGCATGTAAGCCCCTGACCAGTGCCCAGCCTCTCCTCTATCTCACTCTTAGGTACCATGTTCTTTGTCCTCTCTTAACTGCAACTCATTTTTAAACTAGATTGCTTTTAAAAGAAGACTAAATAAAGTTTCCCTTAAGTTATTTAGGTGGTGCTGGGGCTGCTGGGGGCCGGATTAGAGACACAAACATGCAGGGAAGCCCGGCACCCAGCAGCCCCAAAGGCCCACTACCTTGGTGCTGGGGCTGCTGGGGCTGCTGGGGGTCGGATCAGAGACACAAACCTGCAGGGGGCCCTAAACCCAGCAGCACCAAGCCCCGCCACCACAGTGCTGGGGCTGCTGGGGGCAGGATCAGAGACACAAACCCTCAGGGGGGGGCCGGCATCCAGCAGCCCCAAGGTCCACCACCTCAGCGCTGGGGCTGCTGAGGGCAGGATTAGAGACACAAACCCTGGGAGCCCTGCACAAGATGGGTGCTCCCCTTCAGGCGAAGTGCTTTCCCTCCAACCCTGCTCTCCCTGGGAGTCTGGCGCGGAGGGCGCTCTCCCTGGGAACCCGGAAATCCGCCTCTGGGGCGACTGCGCAGCAGCCACGCCTGGCGAGCCACGGAGAGGGTGACCTACCCATGCGGATGTGTACACTGGCAGAGGCCAACGCAGCTGCCATAGTTGAAGTCGTCCTTGATGTAGGAGTGGGGATAGCGGGGATCAGAGTTGGCCAGGTTGGCAATGGAACCCCAGCTCCCCACTGAATGACGAGCACACGGACCTCAAAGGTCCTCAGTCACTTCCTGAGCAGCAGTCAGCCCCGACTGGGATCAAACCCGAAACCTAAGTAGGTGCCCTGGCAGAATGGAACCCAAACCTTTGCTGTGGCAGAGGAGCTCTGACCCACAGCAGGGGCTAGGGCAGCCAGAGGGGTTTTGTTGAGGGGCCCTGACAGGCAGCACGCAGCACAATGGGTTAGATTAGAACCTCCTCCCGATACAGCAAGGTTGCAGGTTGGATCCCTGGTCAGGGCACAGACAAGAAGCAACCAAAGAGAGCATAATAAGCGGAACAACACACTGGTGTTTCTCTCCCTCCCTTCCTCTCTCTAAAATAATCAATAAAAATAAAATAAAAAATAAACCCTCTGGCTTGCAGAGTTGCTAAAAAAGTTAGAAAGTGAAGTCCCATCCCTTCCCGCTCATTCAACAAATACTTCATGTGCTCCTTCAATAATCACACTGGGGATGGGTGTTTGTTGGTTTGTTTTGGTTAATCCTGACCTGAGGACATTTTTGCATTTATTTTATTTTTTTTCCAGAGAGTGGAAGGGAGGGAGAAAGAAAGAAACTAATGTGAGAGACATCAATTGGTTGCCTCTTGCTGAATCCCCGACCAGGGCCCGGATTGAGCCTGCAACCCAGGTATGTGCCCTTGATTGGAATCCAACCCGGTATCCTTCAGTCCGCCTGCAGAAGCACTATCCACTCAACCAAACCAGCATTTTTTTTTTAAGTCCTCCCATAAGGATATATTTTTTTTCATTGATTCTAGAGAGAGAGGAAGGGAGAAAGTTCCCCAAGCATTCTGACAGGGATGGAACCCAAAACCTGTGTATGTGCCCTCACCTGGAATAGAACCCATTACACTTTGGTGCGTGGGAGGACACTCTAACTACTGATCCACACCAACCAGGGTCTGGAGGTACACTTAAAAATTTTTTTTCAGACCTGCCCTGGCCAGGTGGCTCAATTGGTCAGTCTCAACCTGTACACCAAAGGATTTCCTGTTGAATTCTAGGTTAGGGCACATACTTAGGTTTAGGTTAGATTCCACTGGGTCAGCAGGTGCAGAGGCAGCTTACTGGTATTTCTCTGTCACATGGATGTTTCTCTCTCTAAAAATCAATTTTACATCCTCAGGTGAGAATTAAATATACATATATATATATATATATATATATATATAAAATTTTTCAGATCTAAAATTTTATTTGGTTCTTTCTTAAATTTTATTTTTCATTTATAGTTCACATTCAATATCCTATCCTATATAATAAAACCCTCATATGCAAATTGACCGAATGGTGGAATGACTGGTGGCTATGAACTGACCACCACGGGCAGACGTTCAACACAGGAGCTGTCCCCTGGTGGTCAGTGTGTTTCCACAGTGTGTTTCCACTCAGCCAGAAGTGGGGCTCACAGCTGGCGAGTGCAGCGGCGGTGGCAGGAGCCTTCGCGGCAGCATTAAGGAGCAGCAAGCTGAGTGGTAGGAAGCAGCAAGCAGGTGGGCGGTAAGGAGGGAGGGGTCCTGGACTGCGAGAGGGCACAGGCCAGGCTAAGGGACCCCCCACCCATCCCCAGTGCACGAATTTTGAGCACCGGGCCTTTAGTCCTATATAATAAAAGGGTAAGATGCAAATTAACCCTAACAGTGGAACGACCTGAATGACCAGCATGACTGCTGGACCAGTCACTATGAGACGCAATGACCACCTCTCAGTCCCTTCCCCAGCCAACAGGCTCCCATTTCCTGATGGCAAAAGGGGAACCGGGGGTGGATGGCACCAGGGGTGGGTGGCGGGGGAGGTGGGTGGTGTCAGGCCAAGGGCCCACCCCCATGGCCCCACACACAGAGGGAGATCAGCAGCAGGGGCAGGGAATGACCGATCTCTCGGTCCCCCCCACACACCCCTTGGCAGGCTCCTATCACCCCTGGCATACCAGTTTCCATTAGTGGAAAGAAGATACAATAGAATAGCCTGGAAATGACAAGTCTTTTTCCTTATTGATTCTTTATCCTGGGCTCTAGAGAAATAATGGCCGGGTCCCCTCCTGGGTCCCTTGGAGTACCAGCTCTCCTCCTCTACTCAGCCCTGCTGATCATGAGGTGTCCCAGAGCAGGAGGGAGAGAAAAGCTGGACTTAGCAATGCCACCCACCCGAAGGTTGGAAGTAGCAGAGGGATGTGGTGACGATATACAAACTTTGGAGTCACACAGACTCTGCCAGTTAGAACTGTGTAACCTCTTTAAGTCTCCGTTTCTTCATCTATAAAATGGGTATGATAATAGTACCAGCCTCAGTGGAATGCTACAGGTGTGCATGAGATTGTGCACATAAGGCTCTCAGCCAGGTGCTTGACAGGTATTAAGCCTCACTGTTGCCACTGTGATTATCTGCCCCCTGCCCTCACTGGGCTTATGAACCCCAGTGCTTAACTGGCAATGTAGGCAGGTGTGGAAATTGCCTGCTGCATGTCCTGGGGCCCCTGGGAGAACTCGGATTCCGGATTCTGGATTCCTGGGCAAGATGGCTCTGCAATATGAAACCCCTGAGGGTCATGAGTCCAGCTGGGTCTTAGCATGTGCTCCCTGGGTCTCTGGGGCAATACTGCTGCCTTTCCTCTCTTCCTGGCACTGTCCTGTCCTGCCTCAGTTGTCACTCATGATGGGAATCCCTGCATCATCAGTGTGCACATCTGTTCCCCAGCAGCCCCCGCTCCGCGTGCCTCCCAGCTCTGCCTTGCACTTGGGCAAATCACTTAATCACTCAGTGCCTTTGTTTTCTCATCTGAAAGCTGGGAATAATAGTGCCAGCCTCCTGGGGTTGTTGATCATACCAGGTCACCAGGTGAAGCACTTAGAAGAGTGCTGGGGCCTGTTTTAAGTGGCCATTCAGTGTCAGCTGTTCTGTTATTACTGTTGAAAGGTGAGTCTCCTAGGAGTAGGGGTTCTGCGAGGTGCCACTGTCCTGTGAAAACCCTGAAGGAGAATCCTCAGCCTCTTTCAGAAACTGTGAGCTCATTAGCATAAGATACCACCCGTGAAGGACCTCTTGACTCCAATAAGCATTAACAACAAAGAGTAAAAAGCCTGAGGCCAGGGCCTGAATGTCTGTCCTATATACCAATAGGTTGCTGGTTAGGTTCACTGTCAGGGTACATGCCCCAATTGTAGGCTCAATGTTTCTCTCTTTGTCTCTTTCTTCCTCTCTCTCTCTCTCAAATAAATGAAAACATATTTTAAAAAATAAAGTTAGAAGTGAAGCCATTATGGTGCCATGGCTGCAAAGTCTAGAGGAAAACATAACTCAACAAGAATAAGAGACTCTTTAAAAAAAATTATAGCAATAAAAATAACATAGAATTTCAACGAAGAAGAAAACGGGCAGGGGAAATCACTAATGAGCCTAGATTTTAAAAGTCAAAGTGGGAAAAATGTATTTGCAGCAAATATTCAATAAATGGTTAGTATCTTTAACATATAAGAGCTCAGGATTGGAAGATGGCTGCCGACAGGAAGGCGGACTGCAAGATAGTGCATGAGTGAGAGAACAAAGGGAGAGTGTGTGGTCACACCGGGAGTGTTTGTTTGTGAGTTGAGGGACAGCTATACTCCAGGGGACTGTTGGGGACTGCCAGACGGGGTTCCCCTGACCAGACAGCTTCCACTGCTGCTGGGATCCCTCCCTGAGCGACAGGCTCTGACGCGGAGACCACGCCATCTTGAAGGGGAGAGTGGATGTTGTCGGAAGCCTGAAAATCCCGGGAATCTGCAATAACAGCATCCAGAGAACAGCTGCAAACCCGGGAACACTGGTCCCCAAGGGGCGCGAGCACGTGGACTCAGAGGAGCTCTGCACCCCCTCATGAAAGGGCAGATTTTCCCTGGGATTTCGGGCAGGACAGAGAAACTCGCACAGCGGGAGATGGAGGAAAACTCTGCAGCCTCATGGGCTGGCGTGATCCGCGAGTATGGAAGGGGATCTGCAGGGCTGCTAACAGAAGGGAACTCTAAAAAAAAAACAACCCATAGCTGAACTGGGCACAAAAAGGCAGCCTAAAAATTTTAATAGTGTGCCGGCTGCTTAGACCCAGGGGGAAAACAGAGTGCA